TATCTACATATATATCAGAGAGCATTTCTCAGAGTATTGTTAGAAGAAAATAAAAGAATCATGTATTTATTCAGATATGGACCTATTTTTTTTGTCTCCCATCCAACTGAATTTATGATTCAGAAGATGTGGCCCAGGAATCACTGACCTATTTTATTGGCTCACTTATGTTACATTAAAACTTATTAATTTGCAAGTTACTGCAACAGTGGAACTTTTTGTTGTTGTCAGTTTTGAAGAAAACACCATTGTGTGTGTGGTAAACCATAGCATGGATCCAATCCCTAAAATGTGCAGATTGAACTCTAGTCCTCACCGCCACTTTTCCATGCTCATCAGTAGGTACATCTGAGATACTCTTTCTCTCTGACCCCTAGATACCCAGAGGTAGGTCAAAGATCGTAAGTTAAAAGAAACCATTCTTCAGATTGCCTGGTAACCAGACACCAGCCACAAGTTGAGGGAGTACACATAATGCATAACACATAACATCCTAACCTTACCTACTGACTGGTTTACCACTAGCCCTTCAAGATACCAGCTGGAGGCTCAAGAGTTCACATGACATCTTTGCTTGATTACCTGCGATTCCTACTATCCCTGTGTGTTTAAAAGAACTCAGAACTCATGGAGAACATATCATGCTTAAGCTGCACATTTATTATAGCTAAAAAGCATACAGATGAAGTGATGTTTAGGGCAAGTCTAGGAAGGTTCCCAACACAGAGCTTTAATGTCCCAAGGTTGTGCTAGCCTCCTGAGAGCAGATATTCTTGCTAACCATGAAGATCTCTGAACCTCTTGTGTTCAGGGCTGTTATAGGCCTGCCTTGCATAATAGACTAACTCCTTCCTACTGAGACGAATTGACATTAGCCTCTCCGGTTAGTCTTTTGTGGTCTGACCAGCCCCTACTTTCTGCACAAATCCTCTGGTGTGAGCTGGAAGCCCCAGGCTAAGATACCCCAATTATTCCAAAAGATATTTCTTCTTAAACAAGGACAAAGACCACCTTGCAATAAAATCAGGTCCTTTGCCACACAGTAAGGAATTGATTTTAAAACCAATACTAAATCCAGATTTAACTGAATGAAATTTTGCCAGTGTACCTTGATACTTGCTTATACGTTAAAAATATCATTTTAATCAAGAATAAGTAACGTGCTGACAGAATTTTTCCTTTTATGTTATTCTAATGAAAATCTATCATTTTAATCAAGAATAAGTAATGTGCTAGACAAAATTTTTCCTTTTATGTTATTCTAATGAAAATCTATTGGTAATTGGAATATATTTTAAACTGTTAAAATTTTTGGTTTAAGGTCTCAGCAAACAAAATTTATTTTGGGTTTAGAATATAAAGAAATTGGTATTTTCAACCTTAAATGATAACTACCACCCCCCCTGCTTTTCTTTTACCTTCAGATGCTGTACCACTTTTTCTGAGACTTCTTCATTCACCACATCAAAATGTTTGTGAGCAAGCAGTGTGGGCATTGGGAAATATTATAGGTTTGTATGAAACTTAAACTCCTATCCCAACAACTGTAAATAATATGACTATTAGTAATCTAAAACAATTTGCCCTTCTCAGTACTAATTTTTATAAAATTCTACAGATTTTCTGTACTTCCAGTTTTAGAAAACTTCTGTTTGAAAAAATATATATGTGATTTAGATCCCTTCTGTTTCTCTCTTGCACTGAGGTCCATTTTATTTTTCAGCACTCTCCATTAAAGAAAGTAAGAATTTAAAAGAGGTCACAAAACACTAAACAACAATTTACTATTGCCTGTTGCAGATTTTGTTGTTAGGTGTTGTCAGGTCTGTTTCAACTTGATAAGGACCCTGTATATACAGAATAAGACACTGCCACGTTCTGTACCATCTTCACAAATATTGCAGCCATTCTGCTTGATCAAGCAAGAATGTCCTTCAGGGCCTAGTCTCTCCTGATAACATATTTAAAGTATGAAATGAAGTCTTACCATCCTCGCTTCTAAAAAGCATTCTGGCTGTACTTCTTCCAAGACAGCTTTGTTCATTCTGCAGTCCATGGTACTTTGTTTTCCTCACCAACAACATATTTCAAATACGTCAATTCTTTGGTCTTAATCTATGTCCAGTTTTCACATGGATATGAGATGATGGAAAATATGTCTTGGGTCAGGTACGCCTTAATCCTCAAAGAAGGATCTTTGCATTTTAACACTTTAAAGAAGTGTTTTGCAACATATAAGCCCAATGTAGTATATTTGATTTCTAGACTATTGATTGCATGGACATTGATTGTAGATCCCATACAATGAAATCCTTCACAACCTCAGTCTTTTTGCAGTTAGGATACTGCTTTTTGGTCCATTTGTT